TTATAGATAACATATAAATCCAGAGTCAGAAATGATGGTGATATCAAAAACCACAGATTGTCCACATGGGTGGCTGAGATGGTGACATCTTTGCTTTCTGATTGTTCAGTGTTTACAAACTTTGCTTTCTGCACAAAATTATTAAAAATACTGTATAATATTCCCTTCAGGCTATGTGTATGAGCTGCTTATAAAATATGATGACTTTTGTTTAGATTTGGGTTCCATGTCAAGGTGTCTCATTATGTATATTCAAATACTGGCCAGCCGCAGGGGGTCATTCCTGTAATCCCAGCACTTTGGGAGGCCGAGGCAAGCAGATAACCTGAGGTTAGGGGTTCGAGATCAGCCTGGCCACATGGTGAAACCCCATCTCTACTAAAAATACAAAAAATTAGCCAGCCCTGGTGGTGCATGCCTGTAATTCCACCTACACCAGAGGCTGAGGCAGGAGAATCGCTTGAACCCTGAAGACAGAGGTTGAAGTGAGCCAAGATTGCACAACTGCACTCCAGCCTGGGTGAAAGAGCAAGACTCTGTCTCAAAAAAAAAAAAAAAAAAAAAAGTATATGCAAATATTTCAAAATCAGAAAAAAATCCAAAATCTGAAACATATCTGCTCCCAAGGATTTTGAATAATTAATACTCAACCTGAATTTAGGAAAAGATACAGTGAAGACTGGACCTAACTTAAACCAACAGTTTTCCTTAGACCACTTATTTATTCATTCAACACATTTTTATTGAGAATGTAATATGTGGCAAATATTTTACTAGCATTGGAAATATATTAGAAAATACAACAAGAAGAGGACTGCCTTAACACCCAACAGAAATATTTTTTATGCAAAGAGTTTATATTTCTTCAAAGTTTTATATTCTATACATCCTCAGAATATTGTTTTGTATAAATTGTGAGTTGCAGTATTCAATCTAGAATTATAGGTAGTTATTAGTGATGGTGATTTCATTTCATAGGTCATGTGTTAGGTATTTGTCCATTTTTGGCTTCCAACCAACTGAATGTCTTTACTATTTTTATACTTTTATGTGAGTTTGGGAGGAAGTTAGAAACCCCTCCATAGAGGTCGAATAAAGTGAAAATTCACTTTTCTTGTCTCTGTTGCAACTAGGGCACAGCATGTAACTTGGACTCAATTAATTAGATGCACTCAGTATAAACTTTGAACAGCTAGTAACACAAAAAACCAGGACATACCATATAGTTTCTTTTATTTATTTTTAAATAGACTTTATTTTATAGATCAGTTTTGGATTCAAAGTTTTAGAAAAATTTAGGCAGTAATATACTTTTTATTCCACAACTAGTTTTCCCTGTTATTACCATCTTACATTATTATGGTGTATTAGTTACAATTAAGAAAATTAAAAAATAACATCAATACCTTATTATTAAGTTCATAACACTTTATTTTGATTTCCTTCTTCCCTTTTCTTCATTCCTTCCTCCTTTCCCCTCCTCCCTTTCTCTTTCTTTCTCATTCTTTCTTTCTCTTTCTTTCCCTTCTTTCTCTTCTTTCACTTCTTTTACTTCTCTCTCTCTCCTTCCCTCCTTTCTTCCTTCCTTCTTTCTTTCTCTTTTCTTTCTTCTTTTTTTGACTGGGTCTCACTCTGTATCCAGGCTACAGGGCTGGAGTGCCATGGTGTGATCACACCTCACTGCAGCCTGGACCAGCCTGAGCTCACGTGATCCTCCCATCTCAGCCCCGCCAAGTAGCTGGGATTACAGGTACATGCCACCAGGCCTGGCTAATTTTTTTGTATTTTTTGTAGAGATGGATTTTTGGCATGTTGTCTAGGCTGATGATGACCAGATTTCTTTAGTTGGTTTATTTGTTTTGTTTTTATCTTTTTTCTTTTCTCTGATGCAGGATCCCAAGTGGAACATTACATTACATTTAGTTGTCATGTCTCTTTAGGCTCTTCTTGACTGTGACAGTTTCCTATACTTTCCTTGTGTTTGATAACCTTGACAGTGTTGAGGGGTACTGGTCAAGTGTTTTATATGATCTCCCTTTATTTGGAGTTTTCTGATGGTTTTCTTATTATTAGACTGGAGATGACAGTCACAATAAAATACCATTTTTATTACATCATATCACAGGTACATAGTATCAACATGACTTATCATTGCTGTAATATCTTTTCATTAACATTTTCTGGGTCTTTATTTTCCCCCTTCCTCTCTAGCATGGGAAGTAGTGATTTCATGCAGACAGCTTTGTGAAGAAGCCCCATTGGCATCTATTTTGGTGGGATGAGTAGGAACATAATTTTCAATATGTCAGTAATCCATTGCTGCATACAAACCATTTCAAAATTTAGTGCGTTAAAACAGCAATCGTTTTATTTTACTCAGGAGTTTGTTTGAAATTTGGTCAGAGAGGATGGCAGTTATCATTAATGCCAATATTTAAGATATGACCATGGGAATGAATGGCTAAAATCATTGGATAAGTGAGGATTAAGGAATCTCAGAATGCAAACTATTCTATGTGAAAATTAAAATAATCAAGCACTATAACAAGAGCAGTATCTTGGGGAGAGTGGCAGTGAACCAGAGGGTAGAATCTTCAAGGAATGGGCTGGGGAGTAACCTAGACATCCAAAATAAAATAAGCCCCCCAGAATCCCACTTTCCTAACTATACCTTATATCCTCCTTCTCCCTCATGGTAAAACATCTCCAAATTAGTGTCCACATTGTCTGTTTCTTTTTTTATTTTTCCTCTAGTGGCTGAAATAGATCTCATCTTAGATCATAACTAACAGCCAAAGTTATCAAATTCAACTAATAATTTCCTATCCTTCTCTATATCACCTCAACTAGCACTTATCTTTTGAATGAAGGTTTTCAGTGATTATCATACCCCAGATTAAAATTTTCCTATTGTGGTACAGTTCCAGTAAATTTTTAAAAGATAGCAAAAAATGTGTATTAAAATACATTATATCTCAGTCACTACTCTGGTGTATCAAACATACTCAGAATTGGATAAGACAAAATGAAATAAGAGCTCAATAGCTGGTTTTAAAATGAATGATGTATACATGAATTAAAGAAGTAAGAAATAAGTACAACTACTAAATAGCTCTTCACTGGAGAGGAATACACAGTCAATCTGAGGTCTGTGGTTTCTGGACCCCATGTTCGTGATGGCTATAGAATAGTTTCCATGGAAAACCACCTCTAAACATGTTATGTCCTCTAAACATGTGAATGTTAGAAGTTTAGGTGAAAGAGCCAACTGCCAGCCAGTTTATTTATATTACAGATTTATGAGAACTAAAGTAGACTCCGGAATTGACCATTTTAGAGAAGTTGGGCCACAGTGTGACATGGTGTGCAGGCATCAAAACCTGTGGAGGGGTCAGCCTAAGATTTGTAAACTGTTTTTTAAAGAAATATTCTTTAGGTAAATTGGGCTCATTCAAAAGAAGATTACCAAGATGAATACAAGGTATCAAAACATATTAGATAAATAAATTTTAAAGAAACTCATGGGCAGTTGGTGATGAGAATTGAATTTGGCCAAAAACAAAAATTGACCTCAGTGAATTCTGATATAGAAGAATGACAATTGCTCCAGAACTAAAACTAGAGAAACTCAGTTGGAGATACAGAAAAATGGATTTTGACTTATCATGAGGAAGATCTCTATAATAGCAAAAACTACCTTTATATGAAAGAGAGTGGCCCAACAAAGTAAGGAGCTGTATCATTCCTGGTTATGCAAATGCTGAACAATTATTCAATAGAGATATTGTGAAATAATTTAAGCCTCAGATATGTAGTTGGATTATATTACTATTGAATTCCCTTTTTATTCTGATAGTCTATGCTTATGAAATTTTAGTGATTATACATAGTTTTGGGGAGTTTTCAGGAGACAACATAAAGAAGTAGGAAATATTATTTCCTCTGGTACCTTTTCACAAGCTGAAATGCTCCAGGATCAAATGAACCCAGTAATAAAGACTGTTACCAATATTTTAATTGTTTTAATCAGAGTCTATTCTGAGGTTTGTATGCCAAAGACATGCAAATTTGAGATGTCTTTGATGTTAGAATTATGCTTGAAATTTGTATTAGCTGTTATTTCAAATAATATGGTTGAAACCTAGATTCAATTGTGACTGTGCTTAAAACATGCCCATGGCAGCTTAATTAACTACCAACTCCTCACAGTAGCATCTGACACCTTCCACAATCAGGAAATAATCTAACTTTTCATCTTGTATTTTCCCCCTATGTTCTAGTTTAGATTGTAGTATTAACAGTTTTTAGAACATGTTCATTTTTATACTTCTTCCTGAAATACCTAATTCATAAGTGCTTACTAAAATCCTGCTCCTTTTTTTTTTTTTTTTAATTTTGAGACGAAGTCTCACTCTGTCACCCAGGCTGGAGTGCGGTGGTGCAATCTCGGCTCACCACAACCTCTGCCTCCCGTGTCCAAGCGATTTTCCTGCCTCAGACTCCCGAGTAGCTGGGACCACAAGCACGTGCCACTGCACCCGGCAAATTTTTTGTATTTTTAGTAGAGACGTGGTTTCACAGTGTTAGCCAGGATGGTCTCGATCTCCTGACCTCGCGATCCACCCATCTTGCCTAACCCTGCTTTTTTTTTTTTTTTATTGCATTTTAGGTTTTGGGGTACATATGAAGAACATGCAAGTTTGTTGCATAGGTACACACATGGCAGTGTGATTTGCTGCCTTCCTCCCCCTCACCTATATCTGGCATTTCGCCCCATGCTATCTCTCCCCACCTCCCCACCCCCCGTCCCTTCCCCATTTCCCCTCAACAGACCCTAGTGGGCAGTGCTCCCCTCCCTGTGTCCATGTGTTCTCATTGTTCAACACCGCCTATGAGTGAGAACATGCGGTGTTTGATTTTCTGCTCTTGTGTCGGGACATGGATGAACCTGGAAACCATCATTCTCAGCAAACTGACACAAGACACACAATCCTGCTCTTTTTTAAAGGATGTTACCATAGCTCTAAAAGTTGGACTCAGAGGTCACTGCCTATGAGAGAAGGACTTTCTCCCAGCCAGTTTCCTGAGAGCCCCTTTGACATCTTTGTTTCTCAGACTATAAATTATGGGGTTCAGCATTGGACTCACCACTGTATAGAACACAGATATCATTTTATCCCTTTCTTTTGTAGTCTTGGAGTTTGGCCGCATGTAGGTGAAAATTCCTGACCCATAAAAGAGGACAACAACAATAAGATGGGAGCCACAGGTGGAAAAAGCCTTGAGCCTTGCTTCCCCAGACCGCATTTGGATAACAGTGGAGATAATATTCCAATAAGAAACAAGAATCATGGAGACAGGGGCCAGGAGGATTCCCACGCCCATTGAAAAAATAGCCATTTCTGTGCTGTAAGTGTCTGCAGAAGCCAGCTTCAAGAGAGCAGGAGGTTCACAAAAGTAGTGATTGATAATATTGCCTCCCCAGTAGGGAAGATGGAAAGTAAAGCTGGTATCTACTAAAGACACTAGTGCCCCACTGGCCCAGGACCCAAGGGACAACCAGAGACACACCCGTTGGGTCATGATGGTGGAGTAGTGCAAGGGCTTGCAGACAGCCACATACCGGTCATAGGACATCACAGCCAGCAGCGCACACTCTGTACACCCAACCAGAAGAAAGACAATTATCTGTGTCATACACCCATAAAAAGAAATGGTTTTCCTCTTTACCAGGAAGTGAACCAACACCTGAGGGACAATGCTAGTAGAGAAACAGAGATCTGCAAAGGAAAGATTTCTAAGAAAAAAATACATAGGTGTGTGAAGGTGAGAATCCATGAAGACGAGAATGATGATGAGCAGATTTCCAAGCAGAGTCAGCAGATAAATGATGAGGAAAAGGATAAATAGGAGGATCTGGGTCTGCAAGTCCTGTGAAAGGCCCAGGAAGATAAACTTGTACACAAAGGTTTGGTTTTCTTCTCCCATTGATATTTTTGCCTGTTTACCTGTTTGGCACAAGAAGAAAGAACAGATTTTTGTTGGGTCTATAACATCAAGTCTTGTAGAAGAGGCTTATGTTAAAAGCTGACACCTACTTGAGTATTTCTAGCTCTTTGCTATCCAGCTTGTTCTAATTAACAATAAATTAATATATTTATTATTATTAGTTGATTGCAATTTAAACCAACTTGTTATTTTCCAAATCCTCTCTCTACTGTGCTGCTTTTTAATAGAGTATGATACTGTTAAAGCCCTCTCGACTAGTTCTAATGTAAGGATGTTACAGTTCATGTGGATTTTACTAACTAGCCTAAATATACTGTTAGGAAATGACTGTATATAGTGTTAGGACTATCTTTATGCAGAAAATTCTACCACTAACTATTCAAAATACTACACATCTAATTGTAACACATACTTGAAAAATGTGAAGCAGTTTTCAGGAATCAAACTTAATTTGACCTCTTCAGAAGCAACAGATTTTGCTGGGTTTAAAAAGTAAAGCCTTAGCTATCCTACACTAAAGGCCATACTATTTGGATTAAGAAATACAATATTAAAATTAAAGCAATACAAAAAGAAAAAATAAGTTAAAATTGTTGTGATATTTGGATAGGACTAGACTTGAAAAACACAAACAGTTTCTAAGAAACCATGAAGAAAAATATGTACATAATTTACTACATAAATTTAAAGACTCATGTGAGATAATAATATCATAAGATAAGCCACAAACAGAGGAAAATGTTGGAAGGAGATGTCAGAATAAAAGTTAAATAATTTTATTTTTCCTCAACATTCATTTTAGAATTAGGGTATACGTGCAGGTTGGTTACAAAGTTTGGAATACAAATGAATCTGCCACCCAGGTAGTGAGCATAGTATCCAAGAAGTAGTCTTTCAGCCATTTCCCCACCTCACTCTCCACCCCCAGTTGTCCCCAGTATCTGTTGTTTTCCATGGTGATAGCAATGTGTACCCAATGTTTAGTTCCCACTTACCAGTTAGAACATGTGGTATTTAGTTTTCTGTTCCTGCATTAGTTCAATTAGGATTAATTGTTTTGAGCTGCATCCATGTTGCTGTGAAGAACATGATTTCATTCTTTTTATGGCTGCATAGTATTCTATTGTACATATGTTCCACGTTTTCTTTATTTAATGCACCATTGATGAGCATCTGGGTTGATTCCATGTCTTTTTTATTGCAAATAGTGCTGTAATAAACATATAATTGTCTGTGTCTTTTTAGTGGAATTATTTATTTTCCTTTGGGTGTATATATAGTAATGGGATTGCTGGGTCGAATGTTACTTCTATTCTTAGTTCCTTGAGAAGGCTCCAAACTGTTCTCTACAGTGGCTGGACTCATTTACATTCCTACTAACTGGGTATTCATGTTCCCTCTTTTCTGCAGCCTTGCCATCAACTGTTATTTCTTTACTTTTTGGCAAAAGCCATTCTGACTGGTGAAAGATGGTATAATCTGTAACAAAACCACAGCCAGCATCTTATTGAATGGACAAAAGCTGGAACCATTCTGATTGAGAACTGTAACAAGACAAGGATGCCCAGTCTCACCACTCGTATTCAACGTAGTACCAGAAGAGAAAGAAATAAAAGGCACCCAAATAGGAGAAGTCAAGTTAAATGACCTTATTATATTAAGAGTTTGTATAAAGCGCTCTGAAAATTGTGAAGTCCAAGAAATAATGAGCCAAGAATATCAGCAGACTATTTACAAAGAAGATATGCAAATAGTTACTAAATATAAGAAAAATATTCAATATTATTATAACTCAATAAGTGTAATTAAAACAATGAAAGATAAATTTTCATTTGGGTGATTATCTAGAATTTTAACACCAAAAATCATAACAAAAATATCTAGTATATTCATTAAGCATTTAACACGTAACATCATTAATTTTAGGGCTTTATATGATTACATCTTCCTAATAACATTATGAGGTGAATTAAAATACTATTAAGTTTATCTTAGCAGATAAGGTAACTGAAGCAAGGAAAGATTAAGTTACTTAATTATACAATTAAGTAACCAAATTATACAATTTGTTACCAAATTATACAATTAACAATTAGATGTATAATGGAGGTGAAAAAACAGGACACATTTGCAAAAGTAAGTGGTTAGGAGAATTTGTATTAATCTTTCTGGAAAAAAAAGTTGCCTATTACAGTAAAATATTTAAATATTCATGTGTTTTGACCCAGTTCTCAATAGAATGAGGCAGGGAAAAACTTGCCCCATACTCAAAATTCAGTCTTAAAAATTTACTTACAGGATGTTTTCAAATATACATCGCTGCAGCAGTGAAAGGGGGCACAATATGGGCAACATATCAACAATATAAGGGCACAGTATCTATTTATCTAGCTATAATTGGAGTTACAAAAATTAGTGAAACACTGGGCCTATTCAAAGAACCATTTCTTCTCCTGCAATTATTATTATTATTATTATTATTATTATTATTATTATTATTTGAGGCAGGGTCTTGCTCTGTCACCCAGGCTGGAGTGCAGCAGTACTATTGTAGCTCAAAACAGCTACAAATTCCTGGGCTCAAGCCAACCTCCCACCTCAGCTTCCAGAATAGTTAAGGCCTGTCATTTTCTTTTTCCCCTTCTCTGGTTGTCTAGGTCTATATGATCACTATTATTTCCTTTGGCTTCTACAGATAATTATTATTAATATCATTATCAATAATAATGAGAATCACCTCCCATTGGTACTTAACCAAAAGTAGTTTTGCTGTTGTCTTAGAGGCCAATGCTAATATATGTTTTCAAAATGCACAGAAAAGACTAGAAGAAAAAAATTTCCAAAATGTTGAGAGTGGTTGACCCTGGGTTACTGGGATTATGGGTAGGTTACTTTTAGTTTCTAATGTGTTGATACTTTAAAAAGCCCTATATTACTAATATAAGAAAAAATAAAAATGAGAAAATGTAGTAGCACCTAACTGAGGATGCTCTAAAGTTACTTCTTTACTCCTTCTTGATAAGAAGTCCTGATAAAATAACTGTTATAGGACTAGCCCTCTTGCAAAAAGCAAATATAAAACAAAATATGTGAAACAACTATTTTCAGATATTGAACAACGAACAGCCAACCCATAAAATAATGCCATTTGGCAAGGAAACAAACTAGGTGAGCCCCTATAATCACACTAGCTTTATCCCTGGAGGCACTCTCAGGACTGTGGTCCATGGGGTGGGAGTCTGAGGAGAGCATGAGACCCTTGCTGAACTAATGAGATCGAAATCTGTAATTGATGGTTGGAATTATGGAAGCGAATAGCAGAATGAAAGAAGCTGCAGATAGGAACTCCAAGAATCTCTCTGAGTCATGGCTGAATATTAAGCTGTACATACACAGGGTAGGACAGCCAGGCCCCAATTTTGGAATTTGAGCCTGCCAGAATAAAGAATCTTAATTGAAAGCCCCTGGCACTAAGTTGATACCTCAGAAAAGGTAAGCATTAAGAGAGGATCATGATCAGTCAAGGATGCATAATGTAACCCCTAGAATAACCATTAAAATATAAAATAAGGTTATAGTTAAAAATAAAACTAAAAATGAAATAATTTTAAAATAAGAATGCAAGAAAGAGATATGGAAAGAACAAACAGTAGATAGGAATATTAGAAAGCAAGTAAGATGGTAGACTTAAATTTTATCCATAATTACATGAAAAATAAATGGACTAAACATTCTAATTAAAAGGCAGTGATTTTCACATGGGACAAAAAGGACATAACAATGTTTTGTCTACAAGGAATTCATTTTTAAATATAAAAACAGTTGTGTGAAAGTAAAAGGATGAAAAAAACCCACAAAAACACTAGTCATAGGAAAAGTAGAATATATGAATATATAAAGTATTACCAGAAACATAGAGAGACATTTAATAATGATAAAAGTGCCATTCACCTCAAAGACAAAACCATATTTAATGTGAATGCACTTAATGAAGTTTCAAAATATACAAAGAAAAACTGATGCAATTGAAAGAATAATTAGAAAAAAAATACAGAAATAGTTGAAGATTTCAACAGTCTTACTGATAGAACAAGCAGAAAATCCATGAGGGTACAGAAGACTTGAACAACATGAACAATCAACTTGGCCTAAAGGACATTTATAGATTACTCTACCCAATAAGTATAGAATATATACCTTTTCAAATGCAAAGGGAATGTTCCCCAAGGTTAGACTATATATGCTAGGCAATAAATCAAATCTCAATAACACAGAATTGAAATCACATAGGGAATATTCCCTGACCATGAAGGAATTACATTATAAACCAATAGCAAAAGGATATCTAGAAAATCCTCAAGCATTTGGAAATTAATCAACACAATTCTAAATAACACATGAGTCAAAGAGGGAATGAAATTGTAAAATATTTTAAACTGAATTATAATAAAAATAGCATTTTAACAAATTTAGAAATATTTTGAACTTTTAAGGAATTATGATTACTATTTCATTTATTTCATTTGTAGAGAAGAAAGGAAAAGTCAGTTTTTAAATGAAGTTGACATTAAATAAATACATATAAAATAGATACAAAGTCAAAATAAAATAATAATTGTATTCCATTTGAATAAAGCGCTGTGATCAAGTGAGCTCCTATCATAAGTGCTCATTTAGGCCAACATTAGTAAATTTATTAAAACAATTCTACATATTGATAGATTAGAATGAGAAAAAATAGTAAATGCCTCAAAAGATACTTGATAAAATTTGTCTTTCATTCTTAATAAGTACTTTTAGTCAAACAGACACTTAAGTATACATTTTTAAGAAGAAATCTGATTATTTCTTCTTTTGTATAACAATACACATTTGAAATAAAATGCTAGCATCATGCTTAATGGTCAAATACTAGAAATATTCACATTAAATTCTGAGTTACATGAAAGGTATCTGTTTATTTTTCTAGAGTTAGCTAATGAAATCAAATTAGAAATATAAACTAGAAATGACAGGTATAATTATTGGAAAGGAGAAGGTAAATTGATCACTGCTTATAGATTGATTTTCTGTTTGTAAATTTTAATACAATCTGAAAACTGATTAGAATAAATAAGAAATCTGTAAACAGGTAAGTTATCATATATATATATGTAACTATGTGCATAGTTTTTCTTATGTATATTAATCAGAACTAATTATAAAGTTAATTTTAAAAATATAGAATTCATAACAACCCTGCCAAAATATGTAGGTGTGAATTTAGCGTGAATATGTTCAGAAAGAATACAGGAAAAGTCAACATACATAAATAGAGAAATAAACCTAATTTCTAGATGTAAGATTTAAATATTATAAAGATATCTATTGTTAACAAATTATTGATTCT